GACTAGGGTCAAGTTGTCAAGAGATTACAAAAGAGGCAACAGAGGCTCCCACTTTTTTAAAACGATTGTAGTTGTATTTTTTNTTTCCATTTCATAGATATGTTTTAAATACAGTAAGAAATCATTTAGTTTTGGAGAACATTTTTTCTGTCTACATAGCAGAACTTGATAGTAATTATAATGACCCACTTCTTTTGTAATAACCCCCTATAGTATTAAAATTGTTGCCGCGTGTCTCTAACCATACTTACATTAAGTCAGAATGGATTGCAACTTGAAAATCAGGGGCTAATGTTCTCGCATTTTTTTCCCGAAATGTGCAAAAACAAATCAGGATTTCTTCCTCTTTCACTTGACGTCTCTCTGTTGGTGCTGCAGTAGTATTTTGTAGCTAAGTTAGGGTATTATGACACAATATTGTCCCAGTGAGGTCAAAATCCCCATGATATTTCCTCTTTTCTGTTTGTTTAAAGATTTTCCCCACCCAGTATGCAACATGCAACAACAATTTTAAACCGCTTTAATCCCTATATTGCTGTTTCACTGTTCCTACCTCCTGCATGGCAAGGAAAATGGACAGGGGCGAGGCTTTCCCATCCATATGACGCCATAACTCTCGCTGGAGCTCTCAATGTCAGCTACTGTTTCACTCATGTTCGAGAGAAGAGTCTCGGGCAGCCACAGGGACGCCACAGCAGCGATCAGAGTCAAGATACCGATTATGACCAAAGGTAAGGTCACAGACACACCAGGTAACTGACTCTAAAGGCAAGCATACAAGACAATTAACAAACACAGTCAGGACTGGTGGGTGAAGGAACAGTTAGTACACTCAATTGATAACTGAGCACTATAGCAGTAATATCGCATCCTAAGGATTATATCGAAAGGACATATCACAAAAACCTCATCCAATACGTAATTGTTTATTAAAATGTTGTATCACCTGCAGCAGCGTTGCCTTGAAGCCAAAACGTAATTTGGGATATAGTAGAACCTCCTGTCAGTTAAGGGACGCCGGCCGTCCCGTGAAGCGGACTCTAAGGTCTAATACCAGCCACGTACAAAATTTAACATTAAGGGTGTTCACTATGACAGTTCACCAATTGGCGTCTACTATTGACGTTTGTTATTACGTACACGCAGGCTATAATTGCCCATAAGGACTCACCAGTGCAAGAATGAAAGGAACCACAATTCCTCCGATACGAGAGAAAGTGGAGCAAGTACCAAGAGCCATATTCCTAGGAAAACAAAGCAATTACTCAGTATTATGAATAACCAAAGATATTTAAAGAAAAGATCGTTTCTGTTAACCGGGAAGATGCTGTTAAAATTCGGAAATCTTGACTAAAACTTCGGGAACGATCGGAAACGTTCGTATGACCTTCCGACGATCTTGAGAAAGTGGCCCAAAAATATTTGGGCAGTCATCGAAAAAATTAAACGTCTTTCATTAGTAGCTTCGCTCACTCGATGTCATGTATTGTCTATCTGGGTTAAATCCGTCAATGCGCTATGCATGGCGGTACCTGATAGTGGTGGGGTAAAGTTCAGTACTGTATAAGTAGATGTTGGAGAAAGATGCTGATCCAAAGAATCTTCCAATCAACGCTAAGGCTGTTATCAGTCCTTTCAGATCTGTTTTCAAGGCAAAATCAAAATTCCCAAGTTAGTTTGAAAACAAACTGGGGTCGCATACTGACTATAGTAATACAAAAGAAAAGCAAATATCGCTTTCTTGTCTGATTCTTGAATTTAGTCTTTATTTTATCTTTTTTCGTTTGGCTCCAAAAAGTAGTTCATATTAGACATAGTAGTGCGCAAGCAGGCGTTCTTATTTTCCGCGGCGGTGAAAGGAAGAATAACTTTCTTCTCTCCTGTCACCGCAAAAAAAATGACCCTGATTCCAATCACGAAGGTACAATAGCTTCCTGTTGACTCCATGTTGGGAAACATAAATGCTGTCCTAATTGCGTTTCGAAGGCTATGTGAAGAATTGACTTTACATTAATTACTACGTGCATGCCCGTTGTAACGTCTGGCGTAAATTAAAGTTCTCCTTAGGACATCAAGATTTAACTAAAATTTATGGTTTGTTTTAAGAGCAACCATACAATGAATAATGTAAGAATAATTGCCCGTTGGATCGGTCAAGTGCACCGCAGAGAAACCACTAACATCTCAAACTTGAAGTTGCTCTCAGATGAACACTGAGGGTAAAAAGAGGAGAGACCGTCCCAAATCCACCTGGAGGTGGACTGCAGAGGCAGAACTTCACGCCCTAAACCTTAACTGGGAGCAAGCCACACGGCAAGATGGAGGAGTCTTGTTGATGCCCTATGCGCCAGATGGTGTCTAAAGGATAGGTGATGAATTCCCTCAAAAATGCAGCTTTTTGTTTTTTGCAATCTGTTAAATTACTCTATCGCGCATGCACCAACCTTCCGGGACAGTGAGTACAAGAAGACACGAGAAACCGCTGATCATCATGAACAGGCAGTGCGGAACACGGCGACCAAAACTAAAAGAAAAACATGTTCTCGAAATCAGAGTCATTTTCTCTGCAAACGGTAATTCTTCTGAAATTCGAAGGGTGTTCAACATGTCTGTTGACTGGCAAGAAATATTCCTGTCACTTTGTAAAGAGATGCACTTACTATTTGAAGACAACCCAGGCCATAGGAGTGTGCGGTAAGTCACTCACAAACATCAGGAAAATATTGAGGTACGTATTACCAGCCAGACCAGGAACATACAACATGATCCCATAGAAAATCATGTTTAACACCAACCTAGGATTAACCAAAAAGAGATTGACGCTTGGGAATTTTGAGAATCAGACAAGCAGAGCCAAATGCTGGCGCTTATCTCATGCTTCTCTAGCTAGTATGGGGTATTACTAACCCTCCCTCCCCCTCCCCCGCCCCGAACGGGTTGCTAGTCCATCACAGGTTTTACCCAGAATTTTGTTTTGAGATCACCCTAACAATTCGTTAGTACCCATTTACACTGCTTTACGGAACGAGGCACTGTGATTGTAAAGTATCTTGCCTACGAACACAACAGAAAGACCCAAAATTCGACAACACGACCCTGGCCTGGCTATTCCTTAAGGTCAAAAAGCTCGATTCCGAGTCTAACAGACCAACCATAAGATCAGCGAGCCTCCCACTAGTAAAGATGGAATCATCCTTATTAAATAACTAATTAATCAGTTAAGCAGGCTAATTAACTTTCTATGTTCTCTGCATAAAACTAACTAGTTTAGTTAGGCATGGAAAAAACGCGCGTAAAGAGCCTCAATTTTTTCCCCAGAATTAAAGCTTTTTAAATTGGATCCTGATCCAATCTCATTCCCAGGGCCTTCTAGGTATTGAGTAATCCTGCACGCGATTTCTCTTGCTGCGTAAAGCCAAGACATCTGTTATCTCGCACTCTCACTTGAACAGGATTTTACTAGGCTATAGAGGGATATAAAGGAAGTACTTCCGAAAATTCCCAATGCGAGAATGAACTCGACATGAAATGCAGCGATTTTACTACGGTACTGAATTATACAATTAGAATTATGAAATCATTGTACTTCGCCTTTCTGAACTTCGGCGCACATACTTGAAAGCGCATATATTTAACAATAAGCTGATTTGTATAGGTAATCACATGAGGCCGAGTACTATTAAGGATTAATTGCACGAGTGTTTTCAAAATTTTCCAAAATTGCCCGAGTCGC